CCCTACAGTTGGAGGATACAATCAAGTAGGAGCAAGCCATGGATGATGGGACGTCTAGGCTTCAAAAATGCATTGTACTGAGGCTGAGTACGTGGCAATAGTTGAAGCTGGAAAGAAGACAATATGAATGACTAACTATCTAGAAGAATGGGCAAGAAGTAGCACGAAGATATTCTTTATAGAGATAGTCAGAGCGTCATATAGTTGGCAAAGGAACCCGGTCTATCATTTAAAGAGAAAACACAGAAGACGATACCATTTCACTTGTAGGTTAGTGAAAGATGGTGACGTGTTTGGAGAAGATAGAGGGTGCAAAGAATCCCGCAAACATGTTAACAAAATGTGTTGATGTTGGAATATTGAGGTTGTGCAAAGCCTCAATTGATATGGTGTCATGAAGATGCTCATGGTCGTTTGAGAATGAAATTCTTGATTGACTAGATCAGTCTCCAAGTAGGAGAATTGTTAGGTTATGGAGCCTACTGCTTATTTATAGCTTGGTCAACGGTTGTATCCGGTAAAGCTATATTAGGTAAAGCTATACCCGATAAAGCTATATATGGTAAATAACTATATATAGTAGATGGTTAAATCTGGTAAAGCTATACATAGTAAATATCTATATATAGTAGATGGTTAAATCTGGTAAAGCTATATACAGTAAACTGAACTATATATATATATCCCGTCCGGTAGAGCTTTGAATATGTACTTTCTATTCTCTGTAATTCTCTCCTACTGTATATATGCGTGAAGTCATCAATAAAAAATCCTTTTAGGTAGAGTTCTCCTTGCACTTTTCTTTATCCTATTCTTTGTGTTCATCTCGAGCGTGTGCGTTATTGTGCGATCCTAACAACATCAACAACTAAAGCTATTTCTGACTAGTGTGAATTCTCCAAAAGTACAAGAAGTAAATATCTAAATTGATTTAAAAAAAAAAAACTTACGGTAAAAAAGAAAAAAACAATATAAAAATATTTTTAAAACTACCAAAATCATAAAATCCTAGGATTGTATTTATCATAGAATTCAAAAGAGAGGAAAAGAGATAATTATTATGTCAATGTCAATCCAAAAGAGAGGAAAGGAAATCAACATTAGACTCTGTAACCAATGTCAATCCTAGATAGAATATCAGGTAATATGTCAATCCTAGATAGAATATCAGGTAATATGTCAATCCTAGATAGAATATCAGGAAAAGAGACATTATATACCCCAAAGATTTGTAATGGCATTAGATATAGCCAATGCCATACAAATCCCATTTCCGCAGCCTGCATATCTTCTCCAAGCAACCGTTTAGAAAATCTTTCCTTCAACATCTCATTAAAATATTAATACAATTTATATGGAGAAACCCACAAAGAAAAGAGGGCCAAAATTGCCCGACGATGAAGATACTTTCTTCTCCAGCTTCCTATTATCAACATAGTGTTTTTCTTCTTTATCAGCTTCCTTTCGAGTGGACCAACTCAATGAAGAAAGGAAGATAGTCCTCATAGCCACTATGATTGTGCTCCTAAAGCCCCGTGGTCTCCAATGTAAGAAAACCAGAGCTTGTCCTTGTTCTTCAATCAAATGGTCAAACATCTCATTTCCGGGCACAATGTGACCAATTCCTTCGCTTTTCAACCACACTCTCTGAAGGGAATGAACTCTTCATTCTCAGAAGCATTGGGAACCATTTTGATTTTTATTAAGAATTAAAACAAATCAATAAATAGAAGAGTAAGAACTCTACCTTTTAGAAACCCTAAGTTGCAAGACTCATTCCAACCATGCAAAAGCTTTTCAACATTCCACGAGATCTTCCTTACTATGACTCGAACACAAGGTCATGGCTTGTGGGAGCCTCTTCAAAGAAAATCCAAAAGGGATCGGAGAAGAAGAGTTTCAAAAATTCTTTGGAGATGTAATTTCATTCTCCAGAGTAAGTGGGAGAGATCAATGTCACTTTGGCTCAACTTATGGTCCTATTTACAGGGACTCCTAGAAAGTATTTGCCAAATAATATATTTGTATATTTAATATATTAGGATATTATACCTTAGATATTATAAAATAACATAATATATATATTTAATTAATTTGAATCTCATTAAAATTTTAAATATATTTTTTTTAATGTATCAAAATCCATTAAATTGTATCAAATACAATAAATATATTTTTCTTTTTTAATATATTAAATATTATTTTGAACCCTTTAAATTAATATGTTTTTCTCCGTTTATATTTTACATATCTAATATATTAAATATTAATTTGAACACTTCAAATTAAATATATTTTCTCTATTTATTAAATATTAACTTGACCTTTCAAATTAAATTTATTTTCTCCTTTATATTTAATATATCTAATATATTAAATATCAATTTAAACCCTTCAAATTTTCTTTCAAATAAATTGAACCTTTTAGCGTTACTATGAGCTAGCAAGGGGACCTTATGAACCTACCGATAATAAGCTCATGATATAAAATTAATTAATTAAACTCATTAATTAATCAATTTTCATTCATTTAACTATAGGTCACTCCACTATAGATCTAGAGTTGCACTATTATGCACTGTAGGACAAGTTATGTCCATCGATATAATCATTACAAGCAAGTCGATCACGAGTTGTTCATAATTACAGCTGGGTCAAAAGTCCGTTTTACCCCTGTAATTACATCTTTCACCTTAAGTACCACTGATTCTCTAATGAACAATTTGTCTATGATCCAATCATAAACCAAGCCCCTCTTGAGTCAATGAGAGGGTGAGGCCCTATTGTTCAAGTCCCAAAATTAGTACTTAAGAGAAAAGTCCCCAAAATAGTAGGCATATTGAATCGGCTAAAAGAGTCATTCTCACCCATGTAAACTAAAGGACAAGCCATCACAGGCATGAGTTCATAACTCACTCAGGATTAAGATCAAGTCGCATATGAACATCACGTAAAATATTAATCTTCTCAATTACCGAATTTATAAAGAGAGATTAAATATTTTTTTGTCTAGTCTTATACAAACTCATTGTATAGGATACCCCCACTTACATGTCTCCACATCAATAATTTGGATCAAATCGTTTGCAACGATTACAAAGTAGGCCGTACCAATAGTGTTACCAAGATAAGGCACTCAACCTTATCCATGTACTATAGACTCTTTAGGTTATTACTTGAACACAATTCTTTTGTATGTCAACCACGTACCGTTCAAGATTACATTAATGACCTTGGATTTTCATACCATGAATAACAATTAAATTAAAAATAAAATAATATAAACTATTGTTAAAAAAGTAAATAATTAATTACCATGCTTTAGAGCATAAATCCCAACACTCTCCTCCATTAGAATTTTCCCTCCTCAATCACAACCCTAGCACAAAATCAAAGCAACCCACTTAGACTCCACCCACTAGAAGCCTTATCAAGCACAAAACACAATTTTTGGACCGAGATTCCAACCTTCAGAAAGCCAAATCAAAGAATATGGGGTTTGAAATGATTTAAGGCCACTATTATTAAAGCTAAAAGATAGAGAAAGATAGCCGAAAAAAAAAACAATCAAAGAAAAAGAAGAAGAAATAGGTCGAGTATGAAAAAATTGGAATAAAAAAAGCACTTGTTCATCTCACCATTGCCTTCGAACTCAAAAACACATAGCAGAAGGTCTTCCCCACAAAGAGCTACAAATGCTCCTCCCCACAAACAGCGACAAATCATATTTGAAGATTACGAAGATTACCGTGGTCTTACTACCCGTTTGGTTATAATTGTATGCTATATGATGACACGTTCTTGTGTCTTCGAAAGTGTCATATGCTCATATATTTGAATAGTTATGAAATGATATGTGAATGTTATGTTATATGTGATGAAATGATATGTTTACGATATGATATGTTAATATAGAATATGTCTGAAGACGCGCTCGTGATACGTTATGTGAATGTTCTAATATATGATATGATTTGATTTGATATGTTAGAAGATATGATAAGTGTATGATATGACATATGTTCGACATGAATGATATATGATATGATTCACATGCAATATGATGAATTGGTATAATGCACAACCTCAATATACACATGAAAGTTATGATAAAATGATATGATATAAAGAAAAACGCTAAAGGAGTTGTTATACATGATAATGAAAGGAAAAATGTTGGGACCTCATGCATCATTGTGTGTTCATGCATCGGGGGATAACTCTTCTCCTTTTACGATGGTACAACCGCGTATGTTACGAAGCAGATAAACGATCATTATGTTTACCATAATGCTGCTATGACAACCACTATTCCTAATGGATGTCTGACATCAACAGCTACCAGCGAATACTCACCCGATAAGAAAGGGGCCCAGGAGGTGTACGAACCAACTGGTGGGTCCATACTCACACGCGTTGACCATGTGTTGAATAGTAAATACACATTCAATTACCCACTTAGGATAGCCTCCGTAGGAATATAGACCGATATGATAGGTCCACTCATGATCGTATGTGCTTGCATCTAACCCCAATAGCGAGTCACTTATAGTATTTCTTAAAATACTCAAGTCATGTTCTACTCTTATTTTTTCAAGTAAAGGTAAGACACTCCTATACAATTGACGACGACGACATCGCAATTCGGGACCATGACACATACATAAGGTAGTTGTATTTATTTTCTTAGACTTAAGTTCGAATAAGGCGTTTTTACTTTCAATGTTTATTTATTTAATTCAGTATTTCTTATGTCGCTTTAAAGATGTTTTCGAACACATAAGTTCATGACAATATTTTTAGATGAAATTTATATTATTTCCACACAAAATAATTACCGTCCCCATTCTAAGTAACTAGAAATCTAGAGTCGTTATACTTGTCTTATCTATATTAAAAAAAAAATTAGGAGTGTTTCCAAAGTTGACAAATTTAGTATAAAAAATAATTTTTTCTAATAAAAAAAGATGAGAGAGAGAGAGGAGAGAGGGAGGGAGAGAGACTTAAAATATCCAATTAATTAGTAAAATACACATTGATTTAGTTAATAAATAAAACTCCTATCAAAACATGCCACGTGTCGAATATTTTGAAATATTTTCATCCATTAACATTTTTAATATAATTAATATTATTACTTAATTTTGTGGTGCATATTCTTCCACCCTCTCTCATGGGAACATCTCCAAGAGCTTATTACTCAGCATTTTAGGCTCCATTCTGCTACTGCTTTCCATCTGTTTTCATCATTTAAAATTAACATAAGCTTCATAATTACATTAATTTTATGTTTACTATATAGTTTTTTCAAATAATAATCATAACAATATTAATATTAACATTAATGTTACCTGAAGATGCAAATTATGGAAAACCTTCCCATCAAAGGACTCAAAAGATGAAGCATTCAACAAAACAAGACCTTCCTCCTCCAAGCAAACCAAGATCTCCGACAACGAATTCTGGTGGCCGCCGTTGATGTCGGTGGATATCTGAATCGCCATTTCCCGTTGACCAAGTCGACTTGTCGATACGATCGACGAGGAGCTCGTAGCTGCGCATTTCGTTTTCTTTTCTTTATCGCTCTTAACTTCGTGCCCAACCATGGCTGCCATCAGCTCTTCTTTCTTCCTCATTAGCCCCTCCACTTGCTGTTGTAGCTCCGGTATGTAGCTCAATATCCTCGAGATCGTCGCCGGGTTACTCAACTTCTTCTGTAACAAATAAAACATCATCTTTAACTTAAATTCAAAGGATTCCATTATGATCTCTAAACTTTTCAAAGTGTAACGGTTTTAACCCTAATTTTTCAATTCATCAAATTCCACCTCAAACTTATATAAATATTATAATCTTAACCCTAAATTAATTTTAACTTTTTCGAGATCGATAATTTTCGTGGATGGAACAATGGAGAGGGGGAGAAGCGAAGCAAAAGCTTACCATTTGGTCGGTGGAGGGAAGGAGGGAGCGTAGAGAGGAGTAGAGAGAGTTGATCTTCTTGCGACGGTCGCGTTCGCTAGCATTATGGTTAAGTTTCTTAGCCATCTTAGAGACGTTGGCACCGCCTTTGGGTGACGGAGTAGCGGAGGAGGGATAGTGATCGAGGTCAACGTGCGGCGGCTGCAATGGCGGGGGCGGAGGGAATTGGAGGTAGAATGAATTATCAGAAGGTTCAAAAGGAGGAAAGAGTGAGTTATGGTGGTTATGGAGGGAGATGGGATCTTCCAATGGCCATTGAAGAGTAGAAAACAAAGGAGAAGAAACAGCCAACATGATGATGATGAAGAAGATAATGAAAAATGGTGATGCACAAACTCAAATGGTGGTGTCCCTTCAAGTCTTTTATACAAATATTTTCCATTATTATTAAAAACAAATCATTTTTTTATTTCACAACTTGCCTTGATCTTAAAAAAAAAAAAAGTCTGTTTTTTTTAATTAATTTATCCCAACCACTCCATAGTTTTGGTTTAAACCCATCTCTTAATTTCTCGGCTAATCGATTCAGGTCGGGTTGTGAACTTATTTAGGTTAGGTTGAATTCAAATGAATAAATATTTTATGCATTTAGTTGATTCATGAATTCTCTAAAGATAAATTGAGTTGAACGGAATCGGCCTGAATTTGTTTATTCATAATTTTTGTTGGATGAAAGTTCCACATCCGCTAATTTAGGGAATCGTCATAAGTTTATAATCAAGGAATACTATCTTCATTGGTACGAGGCCTTTTGTGAAGCCAAAGCAAAGCCATGAAAGGTTGTGCTCAAAGTGGAGAATATGTCATACTATTGATACTATTGTGGAGAGTCGTGTTCATCTAACATAGTATCAGAGCATCAGTTTTAACAATTTTAAAATATACATTTTTACTTATAATATAATTATATATATAAAATAAAAAATTGAATAAATGACTCGAACAACCTGAATTGTCATAGCTTAAGCCCACTGCTACTAGATATTGTCCACTTTGGTTTGTTACGTATTGAGGTCAGCCTTACGGTTTTAAAACACATATGCTAGGGAGAGGTTTCCACACTCCTATGAAGGAAGGTTTCGTTCTCCTCTCCAACCGATGTGAGATTTCACAATCTACCTCTTTTGGGGGACAGCGTCCTTGTTTGCACACTGCTCGGTGTCTAGCTCTGATATCATCTGTAATAATCCAAGCCCATCGCTAATAGATATTGTGTTTTGGCCCGTTATGTATCGCCGCTAGCCTCATGGTTTTAAAACGCATCGACGATGACGATTCTGTACAATATCCGCTAGTAGTAGATTTGCGTCACTACAAATAGAGTGCGATGCACTGGTTGGAGAAGGGCTAGACCCCTTCCATAGTAAACATGTTTTAAAACCATAAGGCTTGCAACATACATAACGAGCTAAAACGGACAATATATGTTAGTGGTTGGCTTGGGTTATTACATGAACCTACCCAACTTAAAATTTTTATGGTTGAGTTGATTAGGTTCATTATTCAAGAAGGGTTGTTTTGGTTGAAAAATTTACCCCCAAAACAACTAGACACGAGTCTAACAATCATCTCAACCCAACTTAATCTAACGTGCCAGCACTCCTAATTTCGACTCTTAAATTTGAGTCTTATACAAAGTTCATTGAATTTTTGTCAAAATTATTTAGATATTCGATATTGTCCACTTTTAACATAAACTATCCGACTTTTCTTTTAGTTTCATTTAAAAAAAAAAAAAAAAAAAATTCATATTATCTCTCACTTAAAAAATTTTCTATGTACTAAAAGTGGTAATGTTCCTCATTCTCTTTTATCCTTCTTTAGAAATTAAAGTCCAAGTTTATAATAAAATAAAATAAAAAGTCAATAAATAAATATATAAACACAATACTTAACCAAGAGTCTCACCCCGAGAAAATGCATGCCCGCTGCTACAACTGGTAAGGGTTCTCGATCGATTCGATCCAGTTTAACTTGATCAGTTTGGTTTAATGTTCTTTAAATTTTTTAGCTTCTTTTGATCATATTAATTTTTTTTTAAGTATATATAGGTCTTGAAAAAAAAACGTGAATTATAAAAGAAAGAAACACGTTATTTTCATATCTTAAAGCTTCTATGTGATAAGTAGTTTATTGAAGAACTTTTGCTATGATCTGAATCCGGAAACGAATGAACATGTGACCTGATACGAAAACGCTATGGAGATTACTATATAAGACTTTAAGTAAAAATGTTCTTAAATGATTGTGTACCTATTTATGTTCATGTTATCAGGTTAGTATGTGGAGACTATATAGTCGCAAACTCACCTTTAACAACGAACGGTCTAGTATCGTCACCGCAGTAGAGTTTAACCACCAAGTTCGGGATGGATTAGATTGGCCTAGTTTACATGTGTATCTCAATAGTTGATTCAAGCACGAGATCACTCCCCTCGTGTTTAAATATCAGGTTACCTTGTGAAAACTATTATACGTGAACGTGCATAGCTTGTGACAAGGGCATGTTAGAGCATCGAGATTATGCGGCAATGATAAAATTAGAGTCATGTGTTCGGTTCTAGCGATCGGTAACTTTTAATGATTTGACGAGATGGCTAAGCTTATCAAAAAAATTATATTTAAATATTTTCTTATAATTTAAACTAGTTTGTGTTCGTCGTAATTTAGTACTGACTCCAAACGATGTTCGAGATTAGTATTATATAGAACATAACCAATTAATGAAGTATTAAATTGGGAATCTTTTCATAAATTTATAAGATGACATGGCTCGTGTACAACGGGCTTGACCACGCGCTGATTGAGATTGTTTGGTAAGATACACGTGCCATTCAAAGAAATCCACGTGCTGGCGCACGCGCATCACCACACCTTGCTCATACAGTCTCAGGTGCTACACGCTCACCTCAAACTACCCTATTATATTATATGATTCTCAACTATATAATATAATCATTGGAGGGAAAAATAAAACTATATAATATATGTTTTCTCTTCATATTCTATTTTTTTGTCTCTCTCTTCATGTGACCTGTCTATATTTTTGTATATATATATATATTAATTTATTTGATGCATGTATCTGGTAATTCTCTTATCCAAATTTCTCTCTCTTTTGCATCCAAATTAATGATAATTTTGAGGGTAAGATTCTTTTTTCTTTTTTAAGAAGCAGCTTGTTTGCTAATTTACTTACTAATTTAATGAAAACTAAGGTAAAAATTAAAGAATAATGCACCGATTTTAATTAGAACTTGTTAGCTTTAGGATCGAGAGATCAGATGGTCATAACATTACGTATTTTAACTATATTCGTTACGTCTGGCTGAAACATGGTGACAGGGCCTCAACGGTGGAACTATGGACATGTCAAGTCTGCCTCGTAGGCTAGTCTACGAAATCTATAACCTAGAGTTCTGAAACCAACTGTAACGACCCTAGATTTTTGATAGTCTAAAGTCGCTACTGTATACATCGGAAATAATTATTTGAAACTTCAACATAAAACACTGTCATGAACTTATGTGTTCGAAAAAGTCTTTAAAAAGACATAACTAAATACGAAATAAAATAAATAAACATTAAAGGTAAAAACACCATATTCTAACCCAAGTCTAAAAAAGAAAATACGATTGTTGTTGCATGTGTCATAGTCTCGACTTGCGATGTCATCGTCAACCGTACAAGGTTGTCTTGCTTTTACCTAAAATAGAAGTAGCATGTGGTTTGAGTATTTTAGGAAATACTCTACAAGTGACCCACTATTGGTGTTAGATGTAAAGACATACAATCATGAATGGGACATATTCTTCAAGTCTATATTTCCTTAGGCGGCTATCCTAAACAGGTAATTGGATGTGTATTTACTATTCTACACATAATTCACACGTGCGAGTATGGACCCACTAGTCAGTTCGCACACCTCTTGGAGCCCTTTCTTGGTCGGGTGAGCATTCTCTGGAGCTGTTGATGCCAGACAACTGTTAGGTATAGCGACCATCACAACATTATGATAAACATCATTATGTATTCATGTATCTGGGAATATCTCCTTCTTATGATGGTACTGACGCGTACAATACACACAATCCACACGTGCGAGTATGGACCCACTAGTCAGTTCACACACCTCTTGGAGCCCTTACTTGGTCGGGCGAGCATTCTCTGGAGTTGTTGATGCCAGACACCTATTACATTATGATAAGCATCACGATCGTTTTCCTGCCTCGTAGTGTACGCGTTAGTACCATCATAAGAAGGAGATATTCCCAGATGCATGAATACATAATGATGCATAAGGTCCAAACATTTTCATTCATTATCATGTAAAATAACCCCTTCCATTTTCCTTCCTATCATATCATTTTTTAACATAGCCTTTACGGCAAGTATGAGGGTTGAATCTCGTATCATTCATAAGATACATGGTCCTATGTCATATCATGCACATAACATACCCTTTGATACATCATACCATATCATAAACACGTCACAACATGTTTTGTATCGTCAAACATGTTACACCATAACATATATCGTATCATCAATACGTCACAGTTATTTGATCCGTCCACCCATCTTATACAAAACTCCAAATCAATTTTGAGATCTAAAAAATGATTCTAAACATCCTTAAAACTTATTTGACCATTAAAAAAAAAAAAAAAATTATGTTTGTATTTTTCTGAGTTGGCAAAATGTATCAATTTTTAATATAATTTTTTGATGACTAGGCTCCAAGCTGGCCACATCTTCACAAATAAATTCAACTCTCACAATAATTTAATGAATAATCAACTATAATAGTTCACTAGTTTTTATTTTCTTAATATATAATTTTAAAATTAATAATTTTGTCTTTTTTTTAAAAAAAAAAAACATTTTTAAGATTCCTCTCTCTCTCTCTCTAAAATACCAAGTTGATGGAGATTGAAAATGGTCCCAAATTAATATTTTTTAAAATAAATAAATAAAATATAATAATATTTATTTAATATATTTTAAGGGCTTAGTTCCAAAAGGTTTGGTTATTCTTAAATTTGTTTGAGAGTTTAAAGAGTTTAGTTCCAAATGGGTTTGGTTTAAAGTACGAAGAGATTTAGGAGAGTACGAATGCTTGTGGCATCCTCGTGCCGCCAAACACCAAAGTCGGCTTTGCTTCTAACTTCCACGTGCATGGGAATGCACCACGTTCTCACCACACTCCCTATTCATCTTCTTTCTTCTTTTTAAGTTTAATTAATTACTACTTTATAGGTTGATGTCACGTTTTATATGCTAATTTGAGCGTAGATATCTAGTTAGGACTGATACCAAC